CCTTTTCTTTCAATAAATCTGAAAGTAAAATTGAATAAATCTGAAATAAAATAGAACACAAAGAATCAATTCTTTTATAATTATAGAGAAAGGGAGGACAAATTAATAGATACATTAGAAAACTTATCTGATACAATATCGAAGAGATCTTTTAATAATTTCACGGTAATTCCATGAACAAGAAGCGTTTGGTGATTTTAAAATGTGTGAATGTGACAAAGTTATATCAGGTCCCCAAATCACGTCAGACGGTTACATTAATTTGGGAAGATTCAAAATTCACTTCCTACTGTTTTGTAAAAAAAATAATAACAGGCCTTTTCTTACAATCTGAATCTGAAAATAAAATACATCACAAAGAATCAGTTCTTTTATAATTATATAAAGAATAGAGAAAACAAATTAATAGAAATTCTAAGCGTATCTGATACGGTTGGAATCAATATTGTATCAGATAATTTTAGAATCTCTATTAATTTGTTCTCTCTATTATATACATAATTATAAAAGAACAGATTCTTTGTACTGAATTATAATTTCAGATTTATTGAAAGGAAAGGCCTCAACCAATCTGTCTGTATATATCTTTTACTAAAATATCCAGAAAATTATTTGTACATTTCCTTAAAAGGTAATGTGTACTAAAAAAATATATATATATATAATAATTCTTTATTTTACGTAATCTTGATTTTCTCATCACTGTGTTTATTTTGTGAGTTGCCTTTTATTATATTATTATTTATTTGTCTGGTAGTTATCTCAAAATTATTCTGTGAAATAATCTATTATTTATCTCATACTTGTAAAGATATTGTAAAAAATAGGACAAATGTAATAGAGACCTGATAAATAATAAATTATTTCATAGGATAATATTGAGATAACTATCAAATATAAAGTTATATACTGACCATATATGTAATACTACTATATGGCTAATGGGGCGTGGTTTGCGATCGAAACACTACGGTGCCGCCAATGCTAATTCTCTCCTTATTTATGTTCAGTTTGTTGTAACGCGCAGGCGTTAATTTGTTGCGCGATACACTTATGTAGCACTCTACGGCGTGTTCAGATTCCCACCCGAGTGCTCTCTGGGTGTCATGTCATCCTTGTTTAACATTTGGCAAACAATACCCAGATAACAAAATGTTCGCACAGTGATATCATAGTGCGTACACGTCGTGCGGATTATTCGCACGATGTGAGTGTATATCGCCATACAGATGCGTCCTCATATGAGACTCATATTGCTCGCACACATGCGGACGCACAGGAAAAAAAAAAGTTACAGCAGTTCTTATTAATTAGATTTCTTTCTCCGTCATTTGTGTCCTCTCCTTAAGTGCTGAACTGACTAATAATACCTAGGAAAAAACTTCTAAACCTGATAGGATTTGAGAATTCGTAACTCGATCCATGGTGTAAGTAGAAAGGTGAACCATTGCGCATAATGGCGGAAATTTGAGATCTCGACCAAACAGGATTTGAGCTTTTTTGAAGTGCGCGCTGTTTAAAAGTTTAAGAAATGAAATAAGATTATCTAACGCAATTTTGAAAAAAATGTCTTTTATTTAATATAAATAACATAAAAATAACATTTCTTAATAATCTTTACAACACGATAAGTTCGATAAAAGTTTTGGTAACACTTCATTTTTTTAAACTTACCACAGCTAACTTTTAGGGTGCCGTCACATACAGCCCGCAATCCGTAATCCGCACCGGATGTCCGCAAAAGTTACTAGGGATTGCGTCCGTAACGTTACGTGTATTTTATCTCCTTATGTCCCATGGAGCCGTAATTCCGTAAAAGTTACCAGTTTTTACTAGTAATGCTTTTTCTAATTTTATCTATTTGACTAAATTTGACGGTTTAAGTAAAGTTTTTGTTATAATCAAGACATATTCTGCAGTTTTCTTATGAAATAAATTTAAAATAATCAATATAACTTGTTAAATAAAAAATATTACCATTTAACGTCCGTATTTTGCGGCTCCATGGGACATAAGGAGTATGTAAGCACGCAACGCAATAGTACTCCGAGTCTCCAACGTATACAAAGAACGTGCCATAATCTCTTTAATTTATAAATAGTGTTTGATTAATTTGCTTAACAATTTTGAAAATAGAATATCATAATGAATCATTCGTATATGTTATTAGTGATAATGCAAATTTTGAAAAATTCAGTGGCTTTTTCATTTAATCAAAGAAAAGTAATATACAATAAAGTGATTCGAATGTTTACAATTTATTTAAAATTGAAGAGACTGGAAAATGATAAAAAACGGAAGCGCAAATGCTGGATGCGACCGATATTTCGACCAGAAAGAAGACGATTGCAAGGAGCAAGTAACAACTTGGTACGAGAGATGCAATTGAATGATGCAGACAAGTATTTCAATTACTTTAGAATGTCATCTGAAACAATTCAAAGACTGTTAGCATTGGTTGGACCACATATTACAAAACAAGAATGTATCAGGGAACCAATACCTCCTCGTACTCGATTGGAAATTACTTTACGCTATTTAACATCTGGAGACAGTATGTCATCAATTTCATATGCATTTAGAATCGGTCATAATATAGTTTCCAAAATAATAGCAGAGACATGTAAAGTAATATGAACCACCTTAAAAGAAGTTTTATTGCAACCTAATGCAACTAATTGGCAGACAATCAGTGAAGATTTCAACAAGTACTGGAACTTTCCACATTGCATTGGAGCAATAGACGGCAAACACATTATAATACAGGTAAGAAAATGATATATGTCTTCCTTTAATTATACGTATATGTATACTACCATTCATTAATTAAAACCGCAAAATTAACTCATTAATTACTACCGCTCATTAAAAGATAGATTTCTATAGCGAAAGGAACATTTTCTTACAATTTTGGGAACAAAGTGTAATTACACCACAAAGTGTAATTGTGGTGGACCGTATCATTGATAAATATGTAAAATAATTATTTTTGCTTCTATTGTTTATAATTTCAGGCGCCAGCTAATAGTGGCTCGTGCTTCTACAATTACAAAGGAAATCATAGCATCAACTTGCTAGCCGTTAGTGACGCTAAGTATCGTTTCATAATTGTAGACATCGGAGCTCCGGGAAGGCAAGGTGATTCAGGAGTTCTCACCAACAGCGGGTTGATGAATCTATTAGAAAACAATAAATTAAAAATACCACCAGCTGTACAGCTCGATAACAGTACCAAAGAATTTCCCTTCGTCTTTGTTGCAGACGAAGCGTTTCCACTCACGACTTTCATGATGAGGCCGTACCCTCGAAGTGGAAATTTGAATATAACAAAGAAAATTTTTAATTATAGACTTAGTCGCGCGAGAAGAGTCGTTGAAAGTGCGTTTGGAATATTAGCTGCACGTTGGAGAATTTTTCGTAGGCCGATTATTGCATGTACGTCAACTGTCCAAAAAATTGTCCAAGCTGCGGTAGCTTTGCATAATTTTATTATTACTTCGGAAGAACATTTGCCATTGCGAGAAAAACGCTATCAAACTCTTAATCCTACAAATCGTGAGATAATTTCTAGAGGATTAGTAGATATCAATAGAAGAAACATAACTCGAAATATTGAAGCAGTTAAAGTGCGGGATTCGTACGCGTCGTACTTCGAAAATGTAAATCCATTATCATGGCAGTGGGATAAAGTACTCGCAAATGATTTTTAATTTCTATCATAATTATAAGTTAATATAATATTAAATCGATAGTAGGCACATATATAGATCCGGAGCGATCTTGGATTTCATGTAGACAAGAATAGGATCAATGTGATTCATATTATCAATACGCATTTTTCTGCATTATAATTACATTTGCATTAAGGTCGTCGACCAGGTTTCCTCGTTTTATTAGCGGCCGCAAATACGAGTTACAAATACGAGTATTAGGCACTTTCAGATATTCTACGCAACGGAAGGTAAAAAAGAAAGCAGAGGAATGACTCCAGAGTTGTGATTGGTCGTACTATTCCGTTCCACTGTAAATTTCTGCTCATGTGACGCCTCACATAAACGGTCAGTAAGATGAGATAGCAGAAGTAAAGCTCAATATCCCGGCAAACGTTCAAAAGCATTTAATTCTTAAGATCTTATTTTATTACGCGCACACATATTTTCTTAATATTAAAAAATATAAATAAAAATCAAGCTTTAGCTTTTTTGTTATTTTGCTTGATATAATCCTAATGTAGGTACATGAGTAATAAATGATAAGTAATAATTAATAATAAGTAATAAGTAATAATTTTATTGGGCTATTAAAAGAATTATGTAAGATGATGATTGTTAGAATGTCAAAACTTTTTACAGCATTATTTGTCACGTTTGAGTTTCTTACGTAATTATTTTGACGCTCAACGAAATTATTTTCAAATCTGTATCCAGCTATATTTTTAGATACTTTAGCAAAATTGTTCTTTCCGTATATGGATGTGTATACGATGTATAAATGTATATGCAAGTATTAGTGTATTGAATTCAGATCCATGGATTCGCTAAAATCAAATTATACAGATCAGCTGCATTCTACGAGAACAACATACGCAAACGTAACGTTAGAATAGCACCGGTTGTACTCAACGCTATGCTCGACATTTATGAGTCGTGTATTGCTATTTTCGTTAGCCGTACCATATATATATATATTTCTCGCATAGAACTTATAAGCGCCGAGTAATTAGAATTGAAATTGAGTAGCTCGCTGTTATCTCCAAAGTATTAGGATGCTTACGCACGCATTAAAGTTATGTGTTACCAATGTTTTTTATTTTAATGGTTTTTTAAAATAAAATAAAACTGTATAAAAGTATGATTAAATATATTATATATTTTTTAAGATTGCATACAATGTTTTTTATTTTAATATAGTTCTTCGAAATAAAATAAATTTATGATATATGAAAGTATTATTAATTATAATTTTTTAATGTTGCTTATCACGTTCTGTATTCTTTTCCACTTCGATTGCCTGGGTGAGAAGTTCCATTTCTAAATATACTATGTTATACGGCAAGCGCCGTAGAATATCCCCTAGCATGTCACAGAAACTGTGCACTGGATCATGAACTGGCTGGAATTCTTTGAGGTATGACATAAACTCATTTTCAATTTGTGTAATTCCTTCGTTGTCTGTACGTGATCGTTTTGAAACTCGCGATTTGCTGGCAGAATTATTCGCAGAATTATCCGTAGAACTGCTCGGCTGGACGTCGCTGTCATTGCTTTCCTCTCGTGAACGGAGCCTTATAAATGTATCTATGCTACCCTCTACATTTGATGAGTCCGAATTTTCCACCAATTCCATCGGTAGGGAGCTCACCGTTCTACAACACACACGCACGCAAGCACGCACGCACGCACACATTATCAGATTTTATGTTATTATTAATCACATTTTGAAGATAGAGAGAGACACTGAAATTTATTAAGTTAGATATCCCCTTTTGCCAATAAGATAAAAATTTTAATTATGAAATATAGATTAATATTCTCTATAGCGCAATATATACATTAAATTTCGTAAACTTTAAGTTTATTTAATAATTTCTATAAAATAAAAAAACACTTACGGTCCACTCTGGATGACCGTATCTAAAAACTGCATTCTGTTATAGAAGCGAAAACTGCTTTTAACTGGTCGGCCATCTTCTGCACTTGCTCCGCTTCGAACATAGCCCTTCATCAATTTTTTAGCTTTTGTGTAATTATCTCTTAAATATCCCCATCTTTTTTTGCACTCCACGGGACTCTTGATATCTGTAATTTTAACATAATGACAAATAATTTTATTAAAATCTAAATCACGCTCTGCAGTTGAATAGTACATCAATTTATCAAGTGTGATATCAACAGGGAATGGAAGTAACTCGTTACTTGTAACGAAGTTACAGTTACAAGTTACTTTTTTGGTAACTTTACTGGTAACTGCGTTACTTTCTTTTTTTGGTAACTGTAACGGTAACGAGTTACATTTTTTG